CATCTATGTATAATGTCAAAACACCAGTATGTAAGTCTGTCAGTACTTTAGGAGAAGTTCCAAACACAGATCATTGTCCTTACAGTACATTACTACTTGGGCTGTCATAAGAGAAACACTGGACAATAATACATACTAATATAAAAGGATTCAGCAGTGGTTTAGGTGGCAGGCATACACCCCCAACACTAACAAATAAGAAATTACAGGCGGAAGGCAGGCTCTCTGTGGACACACACACTGTCACACAGGAATGAATGAGTAGGACCATTTTTGGAGAATTTTCTGCTATTTCAATAAAGAAATTCTTGCTCAACAGGTCTTTAAGTAGTATTTTATAAACTGGCCCCTACCTGAGGTCTGTTGCTTTCTTCGACAATCGGCTGGCTAACATCAGGTGCCAATTGCTGCTAGAAAAGGAAAAAAAAAATGTTACTTAGTACTTTTATTAATTTGGGGTCATTCCAAACACACACACACACACACACACGGTACTCATACCTAATTGGGGACATTCATCTATGTATAATGTTAAGACACCAGTATGTAAGTCTGTCTGTACTTTTGGGGTCGTTCTAAACACACACACACGCTACTCATACCTAATTGGGGACATTCATCTATGTATAATGTCAAAGCACTGTATGTCTGTCAGTACTTAAGGAGACATTCCAAACACAGATCATTGTCCTTACAGTACATTACTACTTGGGCTGTCATAAGAGAAACACTGGACAATAATACATACTAATATAAAAGGATTCAGCAGTGGTTTAGGTGGCAGGCATACACAGACAGACAATAGTACATACTCTGAAACCCACCGAGTACTACACTGAGAACAAATACCTTACAATCTCTAAGAGATTAAGTAGTATTTTATAAACTGGCCCCTACCTGAGGTCTGTCCCTGACATCAGGTATCAGCTGCTCCCTGACATCAGGTATCAGCTGCTCGCTGACATCAGGTGTCAGCAGCTCACTGACATCAGGTGCCATTTTCTGCTAGGAAACCGGAAAAAAATTAAAACAATCATGATATAGGTCAAATCTCTGATCAAATGAGATCAGTTTCATCTGAAAATGACAAAAACAGCTATTATCAACATTAAACAAATTGTACCAACCGCTGTCAGCAGCGTCACTAACATGGCGGCCTATTTACATCTAGCCCGGGAATGTCGCCACAGACACAGATATTGAAATACTCGGCAAAAAGGCAAGTAGAAGTGCTTTCATTAGTGGGTCATATGATCAATCACCATTGTTTTAACTCACTCTTTGATAGATAGTAACTTAAAAGGCAGTTAAATAGATGAAAATCTTACGGAGCATAACCTTAAGTTGCACACAAACGTGACTTGAGACTTGACTTGCTCGGACTCGTCCCCCAAAGACTTGAGACTCAACTCACACTTGAGATTTGGGACTTGTGCACAATCTTTTTATTTTTGTACTTTTTTGCGCATTAACACCACAAGCAGAATGTCATTCCCTCTGGTGCGCGAGCGGCCACACTCCACAGGTGACACCATGGTGAGCACATCACCTGCTGCTGCTGCTGCAGTTTTATTACCATTTGTCATATCGCTTGGCTTTAATAACTTCACGCAAAGCCTAAACAAAATAATCGCCGAATGCAACGTCTGTAATATGAACATAAAGGATGCTGGATTGACCACATCAAATTTTATCAGGCAGCTGAAAACGCACCCAGATGGGTCCGTCAAGTTAGCAAACATGTTAAGCTCAGCTGCATAAGCTATCAACGTTAGTTTGCTACTAATGTTAGCTTTGTGAGTGGTTAACTTTGGTGTTTTTTAAAATTACATATTTTTGTGTTTGCATGCTAGTGCTGCCACCATCACTGGCTAACGCTGTTAAACCGAGAGAAATACAAGTTAATTATTAATGTCAGCTAAAGGCAAGTTTACGTTGCAGGTTTATTGTTGACCACGTAACGTTAATGTTACTGCCTTATTAGCTTACCATTACACTAGCGGAATCTTTATTTATTTAACCTTTATTTAACAGGAAAAGCTCGCTGAAATTAAAAATCTCTTTTTTCATTACACGGTGGAAAAAAGTGACGTTATTTTTTCGGATCAAGATTGATTTTCGGGGCTTTCGCACCGCGAATAAAGACATCAACCAATTTATTTTTTACTTATGAGGGTTATAAAACAACAACACAGAGGTCTGCTGCTAGACCTTATTCATCAGATGGAAAACTATTTTACTTTCAACCTCGACAAAGGCAGCCTAGATAGCTTCACTTCTTTTGTTCTTACCTTTTACAATAAAAGCTCTAGACACACACTACGTAGTTAACTGTTTACCAGAGGGAACTTAAATTCATTCAGAGCATTTCTCTAAAAGGAAACTCAATTAAATATCTTACAGTAGCTCAGTTTTAGCTTTTCCTGCTCAGGCTTCCTGACTGTGTTCAGAAATCACTGGAGGAGACGCTTTTATTTTGTCTCCTGGCCGGAGTCTCCGGTGCTAACCTCCGTCACTGACACGTTCTGATTCTTCACAATCTAATATCATCATATCGCCCACCCCTAACTCGAACTCTATATTATTATAAAAACCATAAGAGACTTGATTAAGACTTGCTGCTGCCCACAGAGACTTGAGACTTGACTTGGACTTGCAAAAAGTGACTTGTGACCATCTCTGTACCGTATCCAACACAAACATGCTTGTTGAAGTCTCCTTCTCAAGACTTAACCTTAAAGGGATAGTTCGGATTTTTTGAAGTGGGGTTGTATGTGGTACTTATCAATAGTCAGTGTATTATCAATAGTAAACGGTGCATCCAGTTTGGAGAAGCAGGCAGCTGTACCAGCACGGACGCTAAGCTATGTACTGTTGTGGACTTAAGCCGCCTCAAAAAAGTCCACCTTACAAGATCAATATCAGTTTAACTGTATGTCTTATGTCAGACGTTAGTTTGGATCTGAACTTACCCTTTAAAGCCCAGTTCAAGAGAAGAACTGGAGGACCAATGATTCGCAACAAGATGAGTTGAAACTTGCAACTACTTGCAATGCTCAGGTCTGCAACGTTCTGAAACCTGCCAGTTCACACCAGTGAGACGAGGTGAGACGGTGTATCATCTCCATAGCAACAACTCTCTGTACTTCCGTTCTAACTTCTGACTTTTCAGGCTTTTTTCGTAACTGTATATAATTTGTAGCATCATAAAATATAAATGAGGACAGAGAGATACTTGCTACAGCTGCATTTCTAGTAGTGATGAAACTAAAATATCTAAATATCGTTTTATTTCCCTGATTCACTGCTTTGTTCTCGATTACTGCGCTCCCTCTCCCTATTAAGTGTATACTCGCTCGACCCTCTCTGTCTGTCTCTTTTTCTTTCTCTCTCTCTCATTGAGCCTCCATCCCGAACTGCCATTTCAACCAGCGGACTTTGCTACGAGCTGATTGGCTGTGACTTACATTCTAAAATCAGCTGCTGGAGACTTGACAAGCTGAGTCACAGGCACACAACATCAGCCGGTTTGATTTGAGACGAAATGAGCCAGTTCACACTGCTGCAATGTTTACCTGCAACGTTCTAAAACGGTTTCGTTTCATCTCGTCGCAAATCTTTGGTCTGAACTGGGCTTAAACCACAAAGTCTCACAAAAACAGAAACTAACTAATCGATTGAGGCAGTGGTAGACTAGCAACTCCCATGTTTTGCAAGGTAAAAGACTTTCTAAACTAAATATAACCAAAATGGCTCTAAAAAGTTACCTAACCGAGCTTTAAAATGTTAATAGCCAATCCACATTGCCAGTACAAAGTAGCCTTGTGTAAATGAGATACGCATAGGAAGCAATGATGAATTTTGAATTTATATAGTGTAATTCAACATTATTATTAATAGGCTGTGTACAACTGACACAAACACTACTTGCAAAATGTAAGAACTTAACTTTGTATGGGTTGATAAAATGCTCTGCGAGACCAGCCTTGTCAGTTTTCAGTTGAATGTGTTGTTCGGCATCCTGTTGAGGACGGACCCGTCTTCTCCTCACAGATCTCTCCATTATCACTTCATTGCCAGCCATATCATCTGTTTGACAGAATATTTAATGTATAATTAACATATGTGAGCCACCCAGTTAAGCTAACATACATTTATTAGTTTCCTTTATACCAGGATATACATTTTATATTGATAGCTTAGTCACAAACCAATGCAGGCTTTTTACCCTCATAATCAAATCTCTTAAGTAGCAAATGCAGTGGATTTACCTGGTGGAAACCTGTTGTGATCCTCAGTGTGTAGCTCAAATTTACCCTTCTCTCACACACACTCGTTATTTTATTATGCATACACGAATATATCTATATATATAGTAAATCATATTCCTAACATCAAAATACTGAGTGAAGTTTAGAAAGAATTTAGAACACAGACATCAGTCAGTATTTGTAAAATTTTAAGACACTGGCACAATAAGCTAAACAGTTAAATGACTGGGGACAGAGCAGATTGAAATATCGCTTTCTACATATTTACATGTTTATGCTCATTGAACAGGTGTATTGATAAAGCACTGGCATTTTTCTCCTGAAGGTTTATTGCACTTACAGTAGAGAGTATGAGGAGCTCCTCTCTGTGTCAGAGCTGTCAGCTCTGACACAGAGAAATTACACCAAAACATTAAAATAGTACAGATAAAAGAACCATGCCAGAACCATTTCCTCATTTACAGTGTAAAAAGTAGCTCCACAATTACACTGAACATGAGCAAAGGTTACATACATGCTATTATAGTGATAGTTGTATTGCTTTTTTCACTGTGAGGGAGTGGTACCAGGATGCCATGTTGAATGTGAGAACTGTTTTGATAAGTGACTGGTATACTGTTGTCAAAATGTCCTGTATAAAGAAGTCTTATAGCCTTCTTTATACAGCCAACCCAAGGAGGGGGTTTCCCTGTATCCCTATTATATACATACAAATTGTGATTTTTAAAATATGTGATGCAAGAATATATATATATATATATATCAGGAGATAGAAAACTGGAAACTTTTGTTGTGTACAAACTATGACACAAAGGGGCTGAAATGGCCATAATTTATATAATTATTTGGAAATGCAGGCATGGTAATACAACTAAAAATAAAACAAATATATTATATAATATCCATTATAATTATACTATAACTATATATCTTATATCCTATTATCAGGCAAAATGCAAACCGCCTATGGGGTCCTAGACAATTACACACACTTCCACTAGGGGGCGACGTAGAGGGATACACAGATTGGGTGGGGGGGGTGGAGTGGGGGCACACACACACAGAAAGTCTGAAATAAGTGACTTTTAGGGACATCGGAGATTTTAATAAAAAAAACACATTCTGGAGCGTGCTGAATACAATAAAATACAAATCTAAATGGGGACGGTGGTTTGGTCCTTTGGCTTTGGTCCCCAAAGGGAATGACGTCCCCAAACAACTGGTGTGTGCTGGTGAAAGTCACACACACACACGCACGCACGCACAAAGACACACGCAAACATAGACACACACGCAAAGAGACACAGACACACACACGCAGAGGCACAACACACACACACAACACAGAGACACACACACAGATACACAACACACACACAACAAACAACAAACAATACACACACACAAACATATACACAACAAACACAGACACGCAGACAGACGCACACACAAAACACACATGCAGAGGCAGAACACACAACACAAAAACAGATACACACACCCACACAGACAGACAACACACAACAAACACAGACACACAACCAGACACAGAGACACAACACACACAAAAAACACACACAACAACCACAGACACAACACAGACACAGACACACCCACACACACATGCAGAGGCAGAACACACACAACACACACACACACACAGACACAGGCACACACAAATACAACCAGACACAGAGACACACACAACAAACACAGACACACAACACACACAAACAAACAGACACACACACAAACACAACACAAACAGAGACACACACAACACAAACAGACAGACACACACGCAGAGGCACAACACACACACACAGAGTCTCTGTGTTGTTGTGTTGTGTCATTGTGTCTGTGTCTCTGTTGTCTTTGTGGTTGTGTTGCTGTGATGTTGTTGTGTCTTTTTGTTGCGTCTCTGTGTTGTTGTTGTGTCATTGTGTCTCTGTTGTTGTGTCTGTGTCATTGTGTTGTTGTGTCTTTGTGTTGCTGTGATGTTGTTGTGTCTTTTTGTTGCGTCTCTGTGTTGTTTTGATGTGTCTTTTTGTCTCTGTGTTGTTGTTGTTGTTGTGTCATTATGTTGCTGTGTCTTTGTGTCGTTTTGTATCTGTGTTGTGTCTCTGTGTTGTCATTGTGTCTCTATGTTGTTGTGTTGTTTTATTGTGTCTCTGTGTTGTTGTGTTGTGTCTTGGCGTTGTTGTGTCTTTTTGTTGTGTCTCTGTGTTGTTGTGTCTCTGTGTAGTTGTGTCTCTGTGGTGTTGTGTCTCTGTGTATCTGTGTTGTTGTGTCTGTGTTGTTTTGTTGTGTCTGTGTCTTTTTGTCTGTGTTGTTGTGTCTTTATATCTCTGCTGTGTCTTTGTGTTGTTTGGTTGTTGTCTCTCTGTGTTGTTGTGTGGTGTTGTTGTGTTCTTGAGGACTGACAGAGTCTTGACTCTGTGACTGAAGCTGTTTATTTGTCCAATAGGAGCAGTGTTGTTTGGTTGTTTTGTCTCTGTGTATCTGGGTCGTTGTGTCTCTTTGTCGCTGTGTTGTTGTCTCTGTGTTGTTTGGTTGTTGAGTCTCTGTGTCGTTGGGTTGTTGTGTCTGTGTCGTTGTATTGTGTCTTTGTGTTGTTGTGTTTCTGTGTGTTTGCGTTGTGTCGTATCTCTGTGTCGTTGTGTTGTGTCTCTGTGTTGTGTCTCTGTGTTGTGTTGTCGTGTCTCTGTGTCATTGTGTTGTTGTGTCTTTTTGTCTGTGTTGTTGTGTCTCTGCGTTGCTTGGTTGTTGTGTCTCTGTGTCGTGTCTCTGTGTTGTGTTGTTGTGTCTTCCTCCACTCAGCCATTGCTTTTTTATATGAAGAAGTCATGTCTCGGTCATGGATGGCATCCATGAGGACTTCTGTCTGCAGCACAGAGAGGAGTGTGGCTAAGCCCTTGGGGTATGTGAGGTGAAAGGTGTAGTAGCATGCCATGATGTACATTACACTGTCAGGGAGGTCCTCCTTTGGGAAGATCAGCACAGGCGTGGTTCCGATGGCCAGAATGCAGTTGCTCTCACAGACAACCACCACAGGGCTGAAGAGTGGTCTTGTCTGAAGGAAGGTGTTGGGGTCTTCCACAGACTGAAACACAAATAGAAATATGAGGCTAATTAAGTGTGTGAAGTGAAGCTAATTAGTGTGTGTGTGTGTGTGCGCGCATGTTTATCAGAGTATACTGAATGGATATTTTGCAGGTTAGCAAGGCTTGTCTTTAATTGAAATAAAAATGAATATGAGGAAGTGACAGAAAGCAAGAAAAATGGTAAGTGTAAAAGAAACAAAGCAGTTGTGAGCCAGTGTTCATTACTTTTTATGGATGTGCGGCAAGGAGCCTACTATGCAGCCTAGTTGAATAGCCCTGCTGTACAGTACATGAAAAACTGTCATACATAAATTTCTTACCTCAAGGATGTGAAGCATAGCCTCACTTGCATGCCCCAACTTCTTAGGTGGAGCAACAGGTGATGGAAGATGTCTGGCAAAGCCTTCATTGCAACCGCTTGCTTTACTGTGAAAAACAAAACAGTCTAATTTTATTTACTGCAGTTAGTTATTCAAAAAACAACATAAAAACAGAGAGAAAGACAGAGCAACGAGACAAGAAACATTAGTGAGTGCAGTTTGGAGAGACTGCAAGAAACAGTGAGTTGCAGGTGGGAAAATGAAAAAAGCAGATGGTTGGAGTGGCAAGGATGGTTGACAAGTTATGTAAATGGCGAATACTTGGTGGAAACTGAGTAGCACCAGCAGCACCGACTACTGCGGCCAGCCTATGGATTCTTTATCAAGTGATAAGTGAGTAATTACCTTTATCTGCCAGTGGAGGTCTCATGACTTTTTTGAAAACTCCATAAAACTGGATCTTCTCACAAAAAGGTCCCCCAGCGGTTCTTCAGTTCAGGTATGAAGTGGGAGTTTCCTTGATTGAGGATCTGCTGCAGTTCATCCATTATCTACCACAGAAGGACAGATAGAAAGTATCTTTTAAAATTTACATTCCAATCAAAATCTAGTGAATACAACATTTCTGGACCTACTATGCAAGTATAAATTGCAGATTAACCTATTAATATTAAACATAAGTCAACTTAAAATGATTTGATTTTCTGATCCACTTCTCTGAAGCAGGGATATGCTTGAAGAATCTTGGTAGGTCTGTCTTGCTCCTTCATAACATCAGAGTCAATGTAAGCCCGTCTTGCTTGGTATTCAAGGTCCAACAGCTGGGCAACATCCTTCTTCTTGGGTCTGGCCCTGGATTTGTATAGCTCCTGCAGAACTTTGTAGTGTCTTGCCTGGTTCTGTCAGTAGTTTCAGGCTCTATTGTTGAAATGAAATTACAATCACTGTTTCGGTTTCTACCATTACAGTTTGAAGAAACATACAAATATTCAAAGTTGCTTACTTTTAGGTGAATGATTATATTGGCAATCATTTCAATTTTGTTTTATCTAAAACATGTATAAATATAAATAACTTCTAAAATTAAATGTGGCAATACATCTGCACCACTCACTACACTTTCTCACAACTCAACTCCACATGGAGTAGATGTTTATTGATAATAAAATACAATATTTCTTTAGCTTACTCCAGTAAAGTAATAGTTACAATGAGTCTGAAGTCTTAAGTCAGCAGGAGCATTCTCTCTCTCTCTCTCTGCTCTTTCCAGCTGAATCACCAGAACCAGACTGAGCTGAAGCTGTTACCATGACAAAATAATCTTGATAATTAATATTCATAAAGATTACAGGTAAAGTAGAATGCTTGCAGTTCTTGTGTTAGTCGGTCACAGACATTAGCCCATTTTGAAACAGTAAATTTTAATCTTGTCAGTTAATGTTTTATGATCTATTAACAAATGTCTAAACTAGCATCCTTATTATAAATCTTGTAGTTTTAAAGTGACGATGATACTGTTACATTTACTAAATTAAAAAAATATATATAATTAGATAAAGGCATTCCCCCTTGTCAATACTCGTAGTAGTTTTTATACAAAAACACAATCTCAGTATGTGCTCTTACCATCCACCTGTTCAGCCTCTAGGGAACTGCCTCCAGACTGCGGTGATCTTTCCAAGATCAAAGTTGAAGCATTGGACCCGGTGTCATCAGTGGATGACTCCTGGTTGCTGCTCTCAGAGCTGAGCCAGTCGCCTCTTTCTTGAAGGAGTTGCTCCCTGCTTCTTTTTGGGGGTTGTCACATTTTGGACCCTTTTCAAAAGCTGCTTCTTCACAGATTCCTGACAAAAACACAGAGTGTAAAAATCACATTGATCAAAATGAAATTAAGCCATAAAAGCACTGATCCTGAATAAAGCATATCCTCCTACCCACTCAGCTCCACTAGCTGCAGATCTATCCCGCAGCTTTGGGAGTAGTCAATGAGACGCTTAGCCATCACAGTTAGCTCACGGCTGCATGGATACTGGACGTCATCCCCTGCAGCTCTCTTGATGGCAATCATGCTTGTTACTGTATTCCTTATTAAGCGACAGCGAAGCTCTTTGGAGAGGGTAAAGTCTCCTTCTTGTCCAGCACGCTGTTTTTCAAAAAAGGTGGTTCTTCACTGCTCCAGCTCTGTGTCTGTGTTGTTACGCCCCACCATAAAGGCGGCCCTATGGGGCTAACAGCAAACCGTACATTGACCCATTAAAAGACACTAACCACCTTAGCAAAAGTCAAAACAAAGTGATTTATTACAAAATGACACACTAAATGATAACAAAGATCAAAAGAGAAACAAAAGACAACAGCCAATCCCTGACTGAGCAGCTACGCAGTCCCAACTCAAAATGCCTCCTCTTCTGCAGCCAGCACTGGCCTTTTAAGCACTGAGGCCAGGTGTACCTCGTTGTGCAATTAGTAGCTCCACCTGGGCTGGAGACAACAGAAGGGGAGAAGGGACACAGGGCACAGGGAAACATACAGCCGTAACAGTGTATACAATATATTGTGGACTTAGAAGCTGTGCAGTTCTGCTGGCACTGTCTCCTGGCTTTGAGGAGGGGATAGTTGCAGGGGAGGAAGAAGGGGTTGACAAACGGGTTGGGGTAGTGGGAATTGTGGCGGCATCATAAGTTCTAGAGGAGGTGCAGGATTGGACCAAAATGCAGATACAACCAAACAGGTAGCGGGGAACAAAAAGGAAGACTAGAGGAAGACTAGACACTGAAAACAGGAAAATCAACAGGGAATGAAAGACACAGACCATGACAGTTTCACAGACATTGTAAATCGCAGCATGGTTAAATATCGACACAATGTTAAAATCTGATATCACCTCATTTTCACCATGTGTGGTCCTCCAAATGGCTCTCCTTCGGAAAAAGTGCTCAGGCCCCGGAAAGAGGTCACGCAAGTCCTCCTTAGACAGACTGGGAAGCATGTCTGTGCTAATATTAGCAGCTGAAAAAAACATACAATCACACTGTAAATATACATTATAAGGTCATAAGCTGGTTGTCAAGTCAGTGGTTGCAGCACAGAAGCACATCTTAAGCAGGAATAGGTATCTACATTTAGGTCAAGTCTGCCTGCCATTTCCACTAATATCAAAATCAGTGTTTTATTGGAGTTTTATTGTACAGTATTCAAATGAACCCACCCTATTTAGAGTACTGCCCTGATGACTTACGCAGCCCAGCTACACCGAAAGCGCTCTGCCGGTCTACGAGTCTTATGAAGAAATGTGTAAGTACCAACCACAGTACTCAAATTTTAACATTTAAACACTGTGTTTTAAAAAATCCCGCTATTTTGATCATTATTGAAAATACGGGGGCTGCTGGGTCCTCTGTTTTTGCCGAAATCGTTCTATATTTAAGCTAGGTTAGCACCACAGACCGTAGGCTACAGGTGGTAAGATATGTTGTATTTTGTTAGAAACTGATAGTTTGCAATGCGATTCAAGTCTGCTTTTCTAATATATTTAAGTGAACAGTAAATCAATTGTTTTTTGTATCTTCATTTAGGCAAAGAGACAACAGCAGCAGGTCTGACATCTTCCACAGAGGTGAAGTGTAAGTTAAAATCATCTGTTAAAAGTTATATATCCTGTGATTTTTATTTAAGTTTCATAAGAGGATTGTAAAAACAAGCTATTGTTAACAATACAGTCTTCTAAAACAAAATAAAAATCACACCGAGTCATACACCAGCTAAATGTTAAATAGAAAGGTGATGTTTTCTTTTCTATTTTACAGTCAACAGAACCTAAAAATTACTCATTTCAACGTTTGTCTGCACACCTGTTACAGAGGTCAGGCTGGGGTCACATAGTTTGAAGGAACCTCCTCCTTTTTTCACCTGTGCCAGATGCCCTGCTCATCCACTGTGGTAGAAATGACCTCACACCAGCAGCTCTCCCAGATCAAGAGTCCTCTCTGCCATCACCCAGAGGAGCTGATCGATGTCTGAAGAAGGTGGACAGAGTCTGGTGCTTTGTGACAGTGAACAGTGAGAAGGCTACCATAGTCATCCTCAGATAAAACACAGAGATCCAGGTCAATATTTAATGGTGCTATTTTTCTTTACATGATGTTGCCCTGTGTTTGAAAGGCCAGATGCTGGAGGGTTGTGTTGGATTTGCTTTTCCATCATATTTCAACAGTCAAACAATCATCCAGGATCTCTATACTTTTTGTTGGGATTTCTTTGTTAAATTCTTCTTTATACTTTCTCCTATGTCCCAGCAATTTGACCTGATGGTCTCCCTTACTTATTTTTCACATGGTTAATGAAGCCAGGGGTTGTTTATTGAAGTTTTTATTTTTCATAAAATGTTTAAATAAACTTTTTTTAAATCTGAATTGACTGTCAGTTAAGTTTATAGCTCACATTTGAAAAGGCCTTGAACTAACATTAATTTCTTCTTGACCAACAACAGCTAAGACAACAACAAAGCAAGCAGACGAGCTCAGTTTGTCACAGCCGGGCTCGTCTGAGATAAATGGCCTTCAAACGTATTAAATATTAAACATTTAAAGCCAATAAGCATAGCAAGATACGCATGAGATTCCATTTCAATTTATTCAATCACAGACTTGTCAAACAGTCTGGCATATTGTGCTGCTGTTTTCAAGAGTTAATGATTAAAGAGAAGAACTCCATCAAGAGAGGACAGGAAACGCTCAGGGGACGAGTCCTCCATGTTGTCAGGGGTTGCTGATGGATCTGAATCTGAGGGCATCTTCTGTAATAAAGAAAAACAATCATGGAGTTAAATGTAAAGTATAATGAATTTCACTGTGATGTTTATGCCTCAGACCTGAAATCAGATCTGTCCTCAGGTTCTGCTAAACTTCAGGTTCTAAAGTTTGTTTTTAAGACAGGATAACTATTTAAGAGGAAAAACAAAATATATAATAAGACAGGATGAATCCAATAATATGATCAGCTTTATTAAATTTATGTTTTTTTTTAGCTGTAATTCCTCAAAAAGATTTGAGACTGCTTTGTTATTTGAGAGCACAGATTGTTTCTTTTTCCCTTCTCTCTGTTTGCCTGTACATGACCTTTTAGTGCTGTAAAAGATGCTACAGTAAATCCTGGACCAGCTGTGCGGATGGTGTGACTGTGTGGTAAAGCTTTGTTAAAGTTGTCACGCACATACTCATATGCCTTTGGAGAGTAAAAGTGCAGTGTGGTGGCAAACTGCTAATAAAATATAAAACAGTATTTTATTGGTGAGGTGCCCCAATCAAAGCGTCCTACAGAGTTACAGCAGCGGGCTGTAGAGGGAGGAGACGAGCGCATTATGGAGAGGAGCTCACCGGAGAGGGCGAGCTGGGGGAGAGACGCGCGAGCTGAGAAAAAGGAAATCCCTGTTTAAAATATAATGTTGATGAAAAGAGGGAAATAGGACGACATAAATGTCAATGTTGAAATTCTTTTGAATGCAGAGGCTGTGAATGTTCAGCTTTCTTTGAATATAAAAAGGCAACAATAGTCTGTAGTTTAATCATGGTGTTTCTCTTCGTTAACGATTATTGAAGCGAAATCAAAAATAAATGCATGACATTTAAAACATATTAACACAATCACACTAACGTGATTTTTATGCCTATTTTTATTGTGCCTATGTCTCCTCCTAACTGCCATTTCAGTCAGGAGAGACTTAATTGAGAATGAACAATTATTTATTTACAATAAATGTGCAACAATTTAATTTTGAATGTGCAAAGTCTTTGGGGGATTAGACTCCATCGTGACGACTTCCCACTCAGAAGGTAATGAAGCCAACAGCAGGCTAGGAGACCCCCTTATGGAGTCTAGACACTGGTGGTGGTGAAGAGGAATGGAGGCTATGATGAGCCTAAATCTGGGTTCTGCTGAGCTGGAATGGAGATGACTGGGGCGGTGGTGGGTTGCAGCGGTTGCCCTGAAATGACAGAATGACTGTGACCGAGAGAACTGATTTAGCATTTTGCCGCAGCAGGATGATTGGTTGAGAGAGGTTGTGCCCGAATCTGTTTGGTTAATTACTTAAAGAATAAACACCCATTATCAGCTGATCACCAGAGAAGGGAGACAGAGGAAGTAGTCGGGGGAGTGGTTTAGGTTGAATTAATGAGTGGAAGAATATAACCAGTCTTCCTGTCTGAACTTACGCTGAGCTCCATAACAGCAGCCTGTTGTGTGTAACACTGGTCTCCTGCATTAACACCTTCCTTTCAAAGGTGTTAAATACAGACACAGTCACAATCACCTCAGTTTTTGTCAGGTTTTGTCAATTTTTAGTACAAATTCTCAATGAGCGTCATTAAATTTACAATATGATCAACTTGTGACTGTTGAATTGGTAGTGTGTGGAAGACAATGCAGAATATTTAGCATGTTTGCGTTCACGTTTCGGTTAGTCTCTTAAATCAGTAACAATTATATTAAATCAGAGCTTGCCTTTAGTTTTATCTGGATACATAGAGAAATATTCTACCCTCATATATAGTACTATGAATTTCAGCCTGCATGGTGAAAGTAAAACCTGTTACTCTCGGTATAGTCCACTTATCACTCAAACTGTAAAAATGTACACATTAGTAATGATGCAGGCCAGATTACAATTATTTGGCTTTGTTTTTGCCCTAGATACTTTTTTGAGACCTTACCAGACGTATTTATTTTTGCTGTAAAATAACTGTACAGTCAATGAACCGCATCTGTGAACGGATTTTTTATTACGATTCTTGGTTTTAAATACAATTTCAATCGCAATAACGATATACACATTGGGTGCTTTCTTGGATGTCCAAAGAACACGCTGTCTGCGGCGAGCTCATGGCATCCTTAAAGACTCCTCCCACCCTGCCCACAGACTGTTTACCCTCCTGCCCTCCGGCAGGTGCTTCAGAAGCCTCCGGACCAGAACCAGCAGACTGAGGAACAGCTTTTTCCGCAGAGCTGTCTCTCTACTGAACTCTACCCCCCGAACTCTGAACTCTGTCTCTCTCTCTCTCTCCCTCTCTCTCTCCGCACCCTGCTGACCCCCTTTCCCTCCATATCACCTCACACCCCGAACTCTGAACTCTGTCTCTCTCTCTCTCTCCTCTCTCTCTCCGCACCCTGCTGACCCCCTTTCCCCTCCATATCACCTCACACCCATCATCCCCCACCACTCTCCTGGTCACACACACACATCTCTCATCATCTGTATTATTGTATTATAGTATGTTCATATTCTTTAAATTATCTGTAAACTTGTATAACATGCTCACTGCATCTTATTCTGTATATTATTAGTATAGCATGCTCACTGCATCTTATTCTGTATATTATTAGTATAGCATGCTCACTGCATCTTAATCTGTATATTATTAGTATAGCATGCTCACTGCACCTTAATCTGTATATTATTAGTATAGCATGCTCACTGCATCTTAATCTGTATATTATAATCCTAAAACACACTTATTTTGTAGCATTACTTATTTATAGCATTTATTTATTTTATTGCATCCCATTAATCCAGCCATCCAGATTTACCTAATAATTCACTTTTTTTGTCTACTCTGTAAATTTGCAATTACTGTACAAAGCACAGAATTACTGTACATAGCACAGACTCTTGCACTCAATTACTGTACATAGCACAGACTATTGCACTTTCTGCTTATTTGCACTTCTGGTGAGATGCCAAACCTCGGCGGCTGTCAATCAGCGTCAAATATGTCGTAAAATCCTGTTTTTCAACCTCAAATAACTTATTTAAAACAAACTTCACGGAAAAATGAGCGCTTGAACACAATGTAGGGTGATAATAACTAATGACCACAGCAGAGTTTAGGTTTGAAAAAAATATATGTGACGAGTATTTTAGCTTTACAGTTTGACCCACATCCCTCTGTTATCATTGAGGAGGCAGGGTTTATGACCTATGCTGCAGCCAGTCAGCAGGGGGAGCTCTAAAAATAAAAGCTTCACTAGACGGGGACCTTGTCCCGTCCATTAT